ATAATTCATTTATTTTTAAACGATCATTATAGTTTATTTTTGATTTTATTTTATTTAAAGCATTTGCAAAAAATAAAAACTTTAAAAAAGATTAACAATTAAAAGTTATTTGTAACATAACAATTTTTTGATTGCGTATAAATTGTTAAAACTTCAGAACAGCCGTTGTCAAATTGTAAAGAAAAATAATAATAAGTGTTGTTAGTTACAGTTTTAAATTTCGAGTCCATCTAAAAAAACAAATTTATTATAAAAAAAAAATTTATTATAAAAAAAATCTACGATGAATTACTCTAAATAGTAAGGAAAGAAACTACAACTTCACTAGACTAACATTATATAAACTGAATAACATGACAAAAATTTTGATTGCTTAACTTGGTTCCATAAAATCGTAACAGTCATATTTTTAAAAATTTAATCGGACACTGTCCGACCCAAACAAATTTTGATCAGACATTTTGTCCGGGACTTTATAAAAAATTATATTGAGCCCTGATATATATATATATATATATATATATATATATATATATATATATATATATATATATATATATATATATATATATATATATATATATATATATATATATATATCAGGCCTTGTGATAAATCGTTTGGCGATATGAATTTTACGTCGTCCACGAGCAATTTTGCGTGTAGCTAGGGCTATTTGCGTCGAGCAGAAAATTTTTTGTTTGAGTATATTTAAAGATATTTTTGAGCGGAATTTTAATGAAGTAATTTACGATTATTTCAACATTTAATAAAGTATTTTAAAAACCGCACGCAGTTGAAATAAAAGTTTGAATTTAAAAAAATTAAATATGCTCATTATTTACAATTATGCGGCAGTGGTGTAGTGGTAAGAGCGCTTGCTTTGTAAGCGAGAGGTTCGGAGTTCGACTCCCACCACGTCCCTGGAAGTACCGCGCTCAACTTAGTTTCTCCGCGCAGCGGCCTTGCTTGTCAAGGTTCGTGTTTCGGAGTTAAAGAGTTGAGAGAGGGTTGTACCACGAAATTCAACAAAAAAATAAAAAAAAAAAAAAAAAAAAAACACAAAAAAATGAGTAGCCTCCTCGACTGTAGTGGCCCCCTCGCACCTTGGGGAGGTGAATAATGTAAAAAAAAAAAAAAAAAAAAAAAAAAAAAAGTAGAAAAAATTCAAAAATTCAAAAAAAAGTTTAAATCTTTTAAGCTAACATTTAATTAAAATTATTCAGCAATAGCAAAGTTGTCGATAAAATTGAACAAAAATACTTTCTTTTAGTTTTAGATTTTAAACTTAAATAATTATTTTACGGGGGTTTGTTAGGTTTTAAAATTATTCCATAGATTTAAAAATATTTATTAACTGTTAGACGTATTTAAAGTATTTAAGAGTAATTTCGAGGAAACATTTTAAAAATTGGTGAGAACAAATAAAAAAATAAAAAAGGATTAATATTAAAACGTATTCTACTTGATTCAATAAAAAAGTACAGTTATTAAAATTTTTGTAAAAAGTAACTCAAAAAAATTACTTAAATAATAACGATCGCTTTTATGTTAAAAGTCACCGAAACTCAACAAAGCGTGCTCAAGAACAGCTGCTGAAAAATAGAACGTCAATAGTTTTTCGTATAATTTTTAAGAATAATTTTTAAGAATAATTTTTTCGCTGAAATATTTCTTTTATACCTATAAGATTTTTATTCTAACATTTTATTATATTTTACTAAAAATAAAATTCCTTGTTAACATTAAAAATTATTCAAAACGTTCGTTAAAGTTTTTTATTAATACGAGTGATTGTGCTTATCAACCGCTTTTTGAAGATAAATAAAAATAAATAAATATTATATAAAACCGCTTGTAAAAATATTAGCTTTTGCACAGTTTTTAATCGTACAATATTAAAATTTCCAGTTTATTACTCGCTGACTTTTTAAAAAGAAAAAATAATTATTTGAAAAACTTTAAATTACATATTTAAGAAAAAAAAAATCAAATATTAGCATATTTTATAATCTTTTTTAAATTTAAGTTATAATGTTTTTTATTCGTTTAGTATAGACAAAACGTGACCAACGTCGAGAAAATAAACAAATGTTTTTACATTTTAAAAAACGAAACATTCCAAAACATTTTTAAATAATAACATTTCTACATAAACGATTTAAAGTAGTTTTGCGGTAATTAAGTAAATTGGTGCAGTTAATGTCAATAAATATGAAAAGCAAATAAAAAGAATTTAATGACGCCAAAAATCACGTCGTGCTTATGCGTCGCGCAGTTCTTATTCATCGCAAGACCTGATATATATATATATATATATATATATATATATATATATATATATATATATATATATATATATATATATATATAAATATATATAAATATATATATATAAATATATATATATATATATATATATATATATATATATATATATATATATATACATATATATATATATATATATATATATATATATATATATATATATATATATATATATATATATATATATATATATATATATATATATATATATATATATATATATAAATATATATATATAAATATATATATGTATATATATATATATATATATATATGTATATATATATATATATATATATATATATATATATATATATACATACATATATATATATATATATATATATATATATATATATGTATGTATATATATATATATATATATATATATATATATATATATATATATATATATATATATATATATATATATATATATATATATATATATATATATATATATATAGGCCTTCTCAGGAAATGCGTGTGGTCGCACGCCTTGAATGACCATGCATATATATTTTTTTGTTGATAACATGGCCATGATTTTTTTTTGCATTTATTAAAAATGACGCATTTTAAAAATGCGCTGAAAAAATCAAACTAATTAATCATCTTATTGGTTTATTTTTATTTATAATAATTTATTATTACAATTATTTATGAGAAAATTAAAACCTAACATTAATGCACATATATACATTTGTAATTAATGAAAAATAAAAAGATAAAAATAATATATAAATATATATATTTTTATTTGTTTTCATGCATTTAATAAAATTCGAGCAATTTTTCGTTAAGTTTTTATTAACTAAATGAATTACGTCATTAAGTAATTATTATTTCTTCCTGTTGGTTTGACAAGGTTTTAACTGAAACTTTTTATATAAGGAGAATTTAAAAAAAAAAAAAAAATTTTTTATATGTATTAAAATTATTTATTTTATTTTTTTTTTTTTGTTTGTTTATGTACTATTATTTTGGTGGACATATAGATGTTTAGAAAAGATTTTAATTTTTAAAAATTTAACTTAGCAGCAAAGCCGGTGCGATAGGGGTGTGGGGGGGGGGTGACACCCCATCAATGATTTTTAGTCGGCAAATTTGACCCTTAGTCAGCAAATGTGACCCTTTTTGACTAGTTAGTCCGCAAATGTAGACCTTGTCGATAGGTTAGTCGGTTAAGTCAGTCGGTAAATGTCGTTATGGCAGTCGGTAAATTTTAAAAAATGAGGACCTTTTTTTTTATATATTTTTTTATTTTTAAGATGGAAAAAGTTGTTATGGCACCCCCCACCCATCCACGTGACCCCTACTCGTGCCAGCTCTGCTTAGCAGCATTATAAAAATTCAATCTTATAAAAATAAAGCAATACGCATAAACATAAGAAGTGTAAATAGAAACTTCAACAAACCAATTACTCAATTAAGTAATAATAAAGATGTAAAACTAAAATATTTTTCTGAAGTTTCTCTTGGTCTTGCAAAAAAATTATTTCCGGTTTGATAACTTTCATGAAAGTTATGAAAAATTACTCAGGAAGAGTGCCACCAGTTTTTAAAAAATTTCTTTGTTAATTATTTTTAATGAATAAGTTCAATACTTATGCGATTCTTTTGTTACGTAACTCTAACTCTTAATGATAGATAAAAAAAAATCATGATAACCACTCGATAATGTAAGTGATGTAATTTAAGTAAAAAATACAGTATCAAAAAAAACAAGTTTATTTAAAAAAATATTTTATAAAAATTTTAAATTGGTATAGAATTATCTGCATTTTGTAAAAGTTTCTAATACAAACTGATTTACTGATTCGCAGAAATGAGACCTATAAGTTGAATTTGTTTTTTTTACCTTGTTTTCCGTGTAACATCAGTGCAAGTGGCATTTTTAGTAATAAGTTTGCTTTCTTTCGGCCGAACACAAAACTTTTAAGCTTATTTTATTTATTAGACTAACAGCTTTTATACAAAATTGCTAAAATTTTAATTTAAAAGTTTAAATAAGCTAGTATTTGGTAAAGTTATTGCGCGTGTAATGTAAATTAAAAATAGAAATGACTATATATGTTATTTTAATGTTTCTATTTTCTCATTAATAACTATAATAATGAATTATTAATAATAATTAAAAAAAAGAGCAATTAACTTTGTTTTTTCAGCGTGTTTTTAAGATGCGTCATTTTTAATAAATGCAAAAAAAATCGTGGCCATGTTATCAACAAAAAAATATATATGCGTGGTCATTCAAGGCGTGCGACCGCACGCGTCTTCTGAGAAATGGCCTGATATATATGTATATATATATATATATATATATATATATATATATATATATATATATATATATATATATACATATATATATATATATATATATATATATATATATATATATATATATATATATATATATATATATATATGTATATATATATATATATATATATATATATATATATATATATATATATGTATATGTATATATATATATATGTATATATATATATATATATATATATATGTATATATATATATATATACATATATATATAATTGATTTGAATACAACAATAGAAAACTGTGAAATGCTCAAATATATACACGAACTAGAATGTAAAATTAAAGAAAAAAAGAAAAACTGAAAACTAAAAATAACCAACCTACAAACATCATCGTTGTATAAACCAGTTAAAAACTTAGCTGTGAATTCGCGATAATGCAAAGTACCAAGACTTTCGCCATATGTGAGATAGTCAGTAAAATTCTTGTCATCCTTAAAAGGAGGTGCAACACAAATGAACAAACTTATTAATAATTTAAAATTAAATAGTTTTTTTATATTTATATACTAATATATCTGGTTTGTTTAATGAATTCAATGTAGAGATTATAACTAAGATATTAAAAAAGGAAAAAAACACAAACATTTAAATATATTTTAACTTAAACAACAAAACTTATTTTGATTGACATTTAAGATGAACACTTTAATCAGACCAGATTTCTTTTGAAAGGAAAAATCAACAAGGTTCTTTTTCGCAAAAAACAATATTGCATTAAAAATATTAAAGTTTTTTGTTAATAAATAATTTTTTTTTGAGTAAGTTTAAATAACTTTAAACTTATTTTCTAAGGTTTATATTATAAGATATGAACACAACTTGTCTTAACACTTGGGAATCCTTTTGATGATAGTGCAAATAGAACTTTGCAAAATGTTTAAAAGGAATTATGTAGCAACCATTACAACCTTGAAAGTAATATATTTTAATTATAACTCTCTAACCCAATCAAACTGAAATATTTTTGAACCAATTTTCAAAAAATAAGATTAAAAATTTTTGAATATGAAGAAATGCAATCTTGACTATTCAAGCAAGGTTACATTTTAATAGATGGAACCAGACATAACAGCTTGCTTTAGTAGTAAAAAAACAGTCTTTACAAAAGAAAGAGATAAACCTAGCAGATGCAATAAATAATTATATGGTTTTGATGAGAAGTTGGTTAAAATATAATCCATCTTTCTTATGTTTTCTTAACTCTTATCATTGGCAACTTTTTAAACATTTCAAACTACCCATCCTAAATTTATGTACTAACTTAACAGCATTTAATTTCTTACAAAAATACCAATTGTGATGTGTAATTTTTAGAGTTTAAACATCATCTACTATTTAATATAACTATTATGCCAATTCACTCCTATCTAAATGAGATAAGAGTGAATTAGCAGAATAAAAAAAAAGCATTTTAACATTTTCTTTCTTTTTTCTCTCTAAAGAATTTATTTAGGTTACAAAAATTTTTAAATATAAAGTTTTGAAAGGCATGAGTTTTAATTCTTTTTCTTTATTTAATAATATTAAATAAATTATATTAATAATATAAGCTTGATGAATTTTCAAGTCTAAAGTAGTCTAAGAGTTATAATACATTTTGTTTTAGATTATTACTTTTTTTTAAGTGTAATAAATCTTTTTTTAACTTTGTAAATTTTTCTAGTTAAAGAGCTATAATATAGCTCTTTAACTAGAAAAATTTACAAAGTTTTCAAACATTATAGCCTATAATGTTGCAGTAATTTAACTATTGTCCAATTAAGTTTTAATAAAAATTTAATATGATTAGTAAACGGGACGTGATAATAATGGTAATAAATCACTAACGTTGCATTTAATTATAGATTCTTTAACAATTTTTTCTACCAGTAAGCAAACTTCAGAGTTCAAATCCCAAATTGCTAGACTAAATTTTTCCGACATAACTTTTAGTTACAGTTACATTATACTGTTACTTGGCGCTTCAAAGTTGTAGAAGGGCAGGGGTAAAGTGCTCGGCTTGTCGTCGAGCGGTATGGAGTTCAAACCCCAACATACTCATTATTGCACATTTTGCCATTCAGTAACCTAAGGCCGCTATGAATTGCATAGTTGTTTCCCGTCCCCGCCCGCCTCATGTTTTAAAATAATACGATTTTGTCCATTATGTGTTTCTTGCGTATTTTTTCTATTATTTTGAAAAACTTCGAATGTAAAAGTTAAGCGGATGGCAGGAAATGAAAATACTCTTGTGAATTGCTGCATCTGTGACTCCAACTGTGAAGAAACAATACAATTGTCTCTTAAATAGTTGGAAAATATTTTGTGTAGAAGATGAACAATTAACTGTTCAAGGGTTGTATGATATGGTTTTAAGCTCTTCCGAAGAAATGAATCTGCATTTATCCGACCATTTTCTGGAAAGGTGCAAAGTAGGAATATCTCCAGAAAACCTCTACTCTGTTGATGGTTTCCGTAAGTCAATTTTAATAGTGAGAATTTTGAATTATTGTTTTGTTTTTCATATTTATTATTTGTGGTTTATTTGTCTAAACACACACACACACAATGTGTGTGTGTGTGTGTGTGTGTGTGTGTCTGTGTGTGTGTGTGTGTCTATTAGATAAACAATAATTATATATGTGAAAACTATTAAATGGTAATAGCACAAATAACAAAAAAGTATTAATTTTTTTTTCTATAGGAATGAAAGTTAAACAACTTGTTGCTATATTTGGTCATTTTGTAAAATTTTACATAAATAAAACAACTTTAAATGAAGGTGAAAGCAGTTTTACAGATACAAATAGAACAAATGCTTTTGTGATGGTTGAAGCTCAAAAATGCATTTCAACAAAAACAATTCCAGAACTTAAAATTCCACGCAATAAAAAAGATGAGTTGTTCAATGCATTGATAAAGGGTTGTATGTGTAATAGTGAATTTAAATGGACATCTTCAGAAATAAGTTCAAATATGGGATTGAGCACAATTAGTATACTAACAAATGTGTTATGGTATATTGATGGTCATTAGGAAAAGTTTGCTGAGCGGTATTGTGGAATACCAAAAGTATTCTATCAATTTACTAATTTCAATAAACCCGAAAGATTTAAGCATAAAAAAAGACAAGTGTCATCACTCTCTGTAGATACTTTAAGTTCACATTCTCAACGATTGTTTGGTAATCTTCAATCTAGTTTTTGGAATCATCCAGAATGAAAACCATTTAAGCAAGAGGTTGAGATGCTGGCTCAAGGGCTTCAAAAATACTGCAATATTATAAAATCCAAAAGAAGCCAAGTTTTTATAAATCATCATACAAATGAATTCCAGCACGACTCACACCATCTAAAGATATCACTGATCTGTCATATATAGTAAACAGTGAAGAAATTGATAAAATCTATTTACTAGAAGAATTAGACCTTTTATCAAATGATCGCCGACGAAGATATGAGTATATTAAAGAAGTAAAAAAAGGACTAACAGTACCTACAATATTAGTAACTTATTCTCCAGGAAGTAACTTGTGTAACCTACAATGGATTTGGCATACATCTGCTCTAGATATTAATTCTGCTCTGCATTCTAGTCAACCCTTAATTGAATCAATTAAGTTACAAATTCCGAAGTATCACTCAAGAGCTATGTGGAAGGCTGCTTTTGAAAAATACGGTCTAATTACTCCCTCTGTTAAGAAAAGTGTTTTAAGACATATGTACAAAGATCTAGCTGGTGATGTTTCAGCTGCTGACACATTATCCCAAGCTGAAGTTGATAACAGAGTAGATCTATTTTTTGAACTTGAAGATCCAGATCTTATATACGATTTTCGTGAACTTTATGCTGGTAGACATACCCAATTTGATACTTTTTGGGCTAAAGCAAAAGAATTTCTTGAAGAAGACATTGGAACTGCTGTAGATGATAGGCGACATTCACAAGTTGTACATTTAGCAAAAACAGTTTCAGTTAGAGATTTCCGTGATCAAGTTGCAGCTAAACTATCTGATGATACCCCTATTCCATCCAAATCATATATCCAATTGCAATTTATGCCAGCTAGAAAAGAAACAAAAACTTCACAGAGATACACAGGGATTTTGAATGTGAAGAGAATGGTACAGCAAAGACAATGGCGTAAACAACACCCTGATTCTCATTATGCAGCTTGTATTTTTCGCTATCAACGTGAGTTTGCTTTGAAAACAAGGGATGTATCGATACTAGTTTGTGCTGATGACAAGCATCGGATTAAAGTAGGAGAACCTTCATGTCCAGTAGCATCAGTTGAGCGAGGTCGCCAGGTGCTTGTTCAGGGAAAAACGTTGTTTCAGGTTAGTGATCATGACTTCACACGGTTCAGTATGATTCCATCTGTTTCACTAGTTGTCGATATACCAGAAAAAATATCTGAGTCTTGGTATGGTGGCCAAGTAAATGTGACATATAAAGACAGTGCATTTGAGCCTTCTTCTCCAATTAGACACGCGGCTGAATTAGCAAATATTATATCTGAAACTGCTAAAATAAAACCAGTTTTGTTTATCTATTCTGATGGTGGTCCAGACCACAGAGTGATCTACATGAGTGTTAAGCTATCTATGATTTCCCTTTTTTTATTTCTTGATCTTGACTACTTGTGTGCTGCTCGCACTGCTCCTTACCATTCATATAGAAATCCTGCAGAACGGGTCATGTCAATCTTGAATATGGGTCTTCAATCGGTTAGTGTTGCACGTAATATAATGGTTGACAGTAACGAAAAAGCTATAAAGAGCTACAATAGTATTGCAAAAATTAGAATAATTGCAGAAAAGAATAATCTTCGTGAAGATTTATTGGACTCAATAGAGCCTTTTAAAATACTTTTGAGTAAAATAACTGAAAGATTACAGTTAAAAGACAAGAAGTTTAATGTTACTCAGTCTGCTTCTAAAGATCTTCAAACCGAAGTGTGGAGTTGTTTAAATAAATTAGACTCTGAGTTTAACTTAAGCTATAGTGAAAAAATTAATCTAAAATGTTTGACACCAAGGTTAAACCAATTTTTAACTCATTGCTGCCGTCAACGTCACTACTTCTTTGAAGTAAGAAAGTGTGGGAGTCCAGAATGTGAGATCTGTGGCAGATTGAGGCTGTTCACTGAAGAATTCTCAAAGATCAAATTGTTTCCAGACCCTCTGATAAAAGATGATGGTCATTTCAAATCTTTTGAGGATGTCCATGGAACGGAGATTTCTGAAAATGATAGACCTTAACTCAAGAAAGCTAAAGGCAGTTCTCTTCCTTTCTATGCTAGTGTACAACATGCCAAAAATAGTGGCATGATGCTGTGTTGTGATGAGTGTGGTATGTGGAGAGTTATCTATGCTTCAAGAAAACTTAAAACAGATGAGAGGCAGCTGCTTGAATGTGCTCTAGATGGGCAGTATTTTTCTTGTGGCTCCTTACTGCAAGATGCAGAGTTGCCTGAGGGTTTGCAAGATGTGGTATTTGTTCGATCAATGAATTGTGGTGAACCAGTTGAACCTTTGTATTACTCAGCCGACTATGTTGACATTTGTGTTTATTGTTCAGCAGACCTACCAATAGCAACACAAAAACAAGAACATTTTCCTCAATGTGAAGAGTGCTATTCTCAGCCAAATATTCCTCGCAGAACTAAAAAGAAGCAATCATGTAATAAAATGTAAATATTGCAAACATGTTTTCTGGGAGCATTGTATTACAGTATTAGTTATTTACACTATAATCATATTTTATAGTAAATATTTTTAAATACTTTCATTTCTTTATTACTTTTTATGTTGAGAAGAGTGAGGAAGACGTTTCAAATGTATCCTATATAAGAGATCTAGAAAAACTTTTATATTGTTATAACACAGTTTAAAATATGCACCACACAATTTTATTAAAACTTAATGCTAATTTCTACAGCCATTTAACAAGAAGTTTTTAGGGGGGCTCCCCCCCCCCTTCCTCCTAAAAAAATTGTTTTTGTTCAATCGTTCAAACAACGTGCTCTGTTAAATCATAGTTATAAGAAAGCATTCTTATGACTATGGTTAAATATATATGTATATATAATGAGTATAAATAGTATAAGGTAGTATTTAATATTTGGTTTATATTATAAAAACCCTATCGGCTATATATTTCTAAGCAATCTTCATCATGAATATAATCAAGATAAGTAATGGCATACACAAGATTTTTTAAATATTGCCGAATTAAATGAGTGGATAAGAAATATTATATCCCCGCGGAATATTTATTCTAGAGATGGGCCGATTCCGATTCATTATATAAAGAATCGGAATCACAATATATTGCGATTCCGATTCTTACCGATTCCGATTCTTTATTATTTTAATTAACTAATAATGCAATTAAAAAAATTTAATCAGGGCCGGCGCAATTATTTTGAAGAGGGGAGGTGGGGAGGTACCCACTTATCTCCCTATAGTCTATGCACCCCCTATCACCAGCCCTGAATGCATTGTTTGATAAACACTAACGCATTTAAATTAACGACATTAAAGGTGAAAACAAATCAGTTATATTGCTAGGCCCAGCTGAAAAACCTTTTCAGTTTAATAATAATAGTAGTCAGTATACTGATTAATGTAATATAAATAAAATACTTTTAAGAAGGACAGGTTCCTGTTCAGTAACACAAGTATTTGCACTCGTTGGGGAGTTAAAATGATTTTTTCCGGTCGCAGATAAGCCACGCAATACTAAATAACCACTCCAAAAACACTGTTTATAGAGGCCTCTCTAAATGTTACTGTGTTGTTTTTTCATATAAAGAAACTTGGATTTCCTCCAGTATTCAAATACACCATCGTGATTTGCGAGCAGAGGTTATTTTAAGTGTGCTGTACTTTCGTCTGACATTGTGCTATTTAAAAAGTACTTCTATCCATCCCCATTATTTACAAAGTACTTACATACCCCCCCCCCCCTTTTTTTTTTTTAATAAAAGAATCGGAATCGTTAAACAATGTAGAGAAACGCAATTCTTACGATTCCTTGAAAATCGGATTTGGCCCATCTCTAATTTATTCTAAAATTTACCGGTATATATTTTTCGGCAGGTTAAAATTATGG